CCATAAGGATACAAAGTCAAGGTGGCTGATACACACTTATTCCCAAGGATTGGTCCCTCCCCCTTGTCTTTTTACATAGGGAGGGGATAAGCAGCAGATTTATGTGTCGTTGTGGGTACTGTTGTAGTGAACTTGCTGCAGGTTAACTTGCTTGGGGTTCCTGGCAGTTTTCTGGAATCAAATGCTGAGGGGTGATGGGCTTCGAGAGGCAGCTCTTTCTAGGCAGGTGAACACCGGGACTTGGAAGAGTCCACCCTGTCTGTCCCCACCCCTATCCCCATCTCCAGACCCCCATGGGCTGCCCTGCCAGGTGGTGGAACAAAGGGTCAGTTCAGGGTGGAAGGATTTCCTTAGGTACAGAGATCCATCCACGCCAAGTGGGCTGGCCACTGAATTCTGATAACATGAAAGCGGAGGTGAGCTTGTTTAAACATGCTCTGTAAAGTGATTCTCAGCAGCTCAGCAGAAGTATCTGAAAGGTCGACACTTTCAAGTGAAAAGCAAGCATGAAAATGCACATCCCTCAAATTGCATTAGACATGCCTCCCTCAAATTTCACATAGTGACGAGGCCTAAGAGGTGAGGCTAGCCAAGTTTGGACGCATTGGGACCTTCTACTCTATTCTCTCCTTTCCCCAAATAGAACCCAAACTTCTCCTAAAAGTTGTGATGCCCATGTGGAGAGGGAAAGGGCCAGAACATCTGTCCAGTGATCCAGTCTACAAAGAAAATGTGTCTCTGAGTGTATTTTAGTTCGAACCAAACTTGTTTTCCTCAGGACGGGAGCACCCCAAAACTCTAGTCCTGGTTTAGAAATTTAGTTCTCCTGATTCATTTAGACATTTCAGATTGAAAGGTGTGGACCCTCAAGGCTGTGTGTATCTGAAGGCCTTTAAAAGACACACCATTCACCAACCCTCAGAGTTTGAAGTACTTTTTATTATAGCTAATGCAAATTAATCTTGCAGAAGATCATGGCAGATCAAAGTTAACATGTAGTTTATCTTCTCAGTCACCATGACCATAACATATAGTCACATGGCAACATATGAGGTGTGATTAAAAAAATACGGTGAAGTGTAAAAAAATTTATTTCAGTAAAAAACATATTGCCATTAATCCCCCTCAAAATACTCCCCCTTGCTTCAAACACACTCATCCCATCATTCTTACCACTTTCTGAAGCATTTCTGTCTTTAGTTGTTCTGTTGTGGGTGCCTGGATGTCCTGAATTGATTCAAAACGTTTATCTTTCATGGTCATTTTGACTTTAGGGAAGAGCCAGAAGTCACACGGTGCCAGATCCAGTGAATAAAGTGGATGAGGACACACCGTGATGTTTTTGTTTGACAGAAATTGCTGTACCAGAAGTGATGTGTGACACGGCGCCTTTCCGTTGTATAAAAAAAAATACGGTGAGTGCTGGAGTGCCATCCAACGGAAAGGCAGGGATCTTCAATACGGGAAGTGGCGCGTCGAACCTTAGTGACAGTGTGTGACAAGTTTCAACTTGTTGGGTGCAGTCGGGTGTGAGCTACGGTTGAGAGGTGTGTTTAAAATATTCTGTAAACCATCCTCCATCAAGACAATGCTCCATGTCACACATCACTTCTGGTCCAGCAATTTCTGTCAAATAAAGACATTACGCTGTGTCCTCACCCACCTTATTCACTAGACCTGGCACCGTGCGACTTCTGGCTCTTCCCCAAAGTCAAAATGATTCAGGACATGGAGGCAGCCTCAACAGTGCAACTAAAGGCACTCATGAAAGAGGACATCCAGAACTATTTCAGAAAGTGGCAAGAACGATTGGATAAGTGGGTTCCAAGCAATGGGGAATACCATATTTCCCCATGTATAAAACGCACCCTTTTTCGAAAAATTTGGGGTCTAAGAACTGGGTGCGTCTTATACAGTGGTTGTAGATTTTTTTGACAGTGATGAGGAGTTGTATGAATTTTATGATGAATAAAACTTGAGTTCAATAACTTTATGTAATACATTTTTTTTTTCACATTTTGGGCCCCAAATTAAGGTGCATCTTATACATGAGGAAATACGGTATTTTGAGGTGGATTAATGGCAGGCAATGTCTTTCACTGTAATAAGTTTTTGTAAATATTCACCGTATTGTTTGATCACACCTATTTTTAAAGCTTTACTAGCTTTTCACAGAATGCCTAACAGAATGCCAAAATTAATTTGTAAATTAATTTTAAAAAGTAGGACCCAAGTCCATTTTGATAGTAACTATTTTGAGATAAAATACTTTGAGTGTTATGACACGTCAATTTCCTGGTTTTGATAATGGATTATAATTATATGTTATCATTGGGGGAATCTGGGTAATGGGTACGGGGACCTCTCTGTACTATTTTTGAAATTTTTGGGGAATCTATAATTATTTAAAAATAAAGAGTAAAAAAAAAAAACTATTTGCAATAACCATACTAGATGCTTATTTTTAAGAAAAAGGCTCCATATACCCTAAAACTATAAATTACGTGATGAAATTAGAACTAAAAGCATAGCTGAATATCTATTTTGATTCTTGAACCAGTAGACAGATGATAGAGTTATGGATGTAGTTCTGTTTTCTCTATGAAATGCTCTGGAAGAATCTATGGGCCTCTTTTTTGGAATAGGGCCCCTAACAGTGAAGAAACACTCTCTTAAACATGTTCTTTTCATAACATAGTTAAGACAGCACTTGAGACCTAGAGAGAAATAATCAACATGTAAACAAGATCAAACTTCTATTAGCATGTGGAATTTAATAAAAAGATAGGCTACACATCCTGATTATGGCAACCTGGGCAGACTTAAAATTTAGCATTATCCAAATTTTGAGTTGATTTACAATGAGTCATCTGGGCCATAGCTCCTGCTTCCTGCGGTGACAGTCCCTGAGAATAAATTCCCTGGGTTCCTATGGTATTGTGCGGTGCTCCAGCAGGACCCCACATTGATGGGAAAGTGAGGCTCCGGGAAGCTAGGAGGATCATTCACACAGGATGTCCTGACTTCAGGACCGTCCTTTGTTACTGGGGGATACCCGCCTTAAGAGAACTCGGCAATGCATCAGGGGGCAGCTAACAACTGTTTCTGCACTGGCACTGGTCTCAGCAACAGCTAAGCGTGCAGCGTGGGGCTGACCTATGCCATGAGGATGCTTCAGAATTCACTGTGCTCGGTTCTGGTCGAGGATCAAGCTGGCCAACAGTGCCATGGACAGGGTTCTGGTCACATGGCATTAGCATGGCAGCAGAAATTAGCATGGCCAGAAAAAAATAGGAATGTGTATATTCTCCCCCAAATCAAAGAAAATTCCAAAGATAAGAGGGAAAATATGGAACTAGTCTTGACCACAATGCAAAGAAAAGGCAGTGGAGGGGGAATAGCAAAACCTATGAGATGCAGAGTAATGGAGACCCTGCGTTCAGACATTCTCTGCGCTGTTGGGGGCTGGAGGACGCATAGCCGGGCTCGTGGAGCCACACGCCGCTGGTCTGCATCTCACCTGGGGCCCCAAACCTGCCGTTTCTACCTCTGAGTATCTTTCAAAGCCAGTTTTTCTCCAGCTCCACCGCCCACCACCCATCGCAGGATAGCATGTCCTGAAGTCTCCATTTCCTGTAGCTTTTCTCCAGTCTGCTCTCCACAACAGCCACTGTCATCTTTTTAAATAAATCGGATCACATCACTCCCCTGTGTAGATCTTTAAGGAGCGTCCACTACCTTTCCCGCTGTCCACCCTGCTCCTGCCCTAATAACTTCCAGCTTCTGGAAAGGCCCAGCCTTTTCTTTGACGCCTCAGGGTCTTACACTTGTTTCCTCTGCTATTCCTCCCTCTTCACTCGCCTCCTTCAGCTTGATTCCAAGCCTTCAAATCCTACCACCTCAGAGAGGTAGGAGCTTGTCATTGTCACCGCCACTGTCCACTGCTTTTTAGCATTTACCATTCATTCATTGTAATTATGTCCCGCTTTGAGCTCTGTAAGGGCAGGGGTGTGCCTGTTCTCTCAGCACCCAGCATGTGGCTGGTGTTGAACAAATGGCTGTCGAATGAGCTCCTCAGACCCATTTCTTTATCTGTAACAGGCCAGAAAGGACATCTGAGTTTCAGGGTGATGGGGAGTTAACAGATGATCACCACAGTAATTACTGTGGTTTACAGGCAGTTGTCACCAACAAGTCCCTATTGTGTGTATCACCCCCTCCCCCCATTTTACCAATGAGAAAAGTGACGTGCAGAGATTTTTAAGATCTGCCCAACCTATCATCAGAAAGAGGTGGAGTTGGACTTTCGGCCCAGATTGATGTCGGAGTCCTCACTCTGGACTCTGGAGGGTACCGAGCACATGCATGTGCCCAGTTAAGGTCACGGAGAGCTTCACCATCGCCAGGAACCCGAGGTGTGTTGAGAGCAGGAGGAGGGGAAGCAGCTTGATTTTCGCTACAGGGCAGAGGAAAGTGAAGAGAACTGGGCAACCCTGCGGCGTGCCCTCACGGAAGGCATTCCAGCTTCCTTCTGCATCCCAAAGCTGCCAGGTGGACTCGCCAGCTCTGTGAGAGGCGGGCAGGCTAGGGGTCCTTCGGTGGCCTCACTTCAGGCAAGAAGCAGAGCCTCGCAAGGGCCCAGTGTCATCTGGACCTAGTCCTAAAACACCAAACGAGTCACATCAAGTCTATCAGAGCCGGTTTCTTCTGGTTCCTTCCCCTGGATGGGGCCTTGATAGTCATATACCAGCCTCAATTCACGTTCATTCTTATTAAAGGTAAATACAAATAACTCATTTTCACTGTGCATTTGTATATTTAAATACAAATTGCTCAAATTATTTGTCATTTTAGGGAATGACAGTAAATTTCAAGTTTAATATATTAAACTAAAAAAAAAAAAAAACCCCAAAAAAATCTTCCTTTCTGCTTAAAAATGGTAATATTGTCAAATAACTTGAGACATAAAATTTTGTTAAGAGTTTAGGCAAGAAACATTATTAACGGTATCATAAATAAGTATTATAACTTTATTAAAATGAAAAGACAATATTCAAAATAATGCAACAAAAATGAATAAAATCCTTTGTCCAATACTGTACACATAATGCAGAAATCAGTGCATTTTTCTAAAGCACGTTTTAACCTTCATTTAAGTTCATACTAAAATATAAGCTTTAAATAGCTCAAACAATATCATTCAGCAGTTTAAACTGTAAACAGCTTGTTTAAGTGTTAAGAGAACGTTGCAGTAATGTACCTGTTAGCCAGCACCTTCTCTTCTGCGCTTAACTGTACAAGGGAAATACACCGAAGCTGTGGGAGTGGCAGCGCCAGCCATGGGTCTTGCTGCAGCAAAGTGGAGCAGCCAGCTGTGCGAGTTTTAAAAGCAGACGATGCTGATGTGACCTCTGGTATTAAGACACACTGCACTCTTGGTCGGAAGTGTTTTACTGAAAAAGCAGACCAGTCCCCAGGAAATACTGAATAGGAGCCAGCAACACAAGGCCAGCTTGTGTTGTGCTTGTTTATTAATACAGTCTAAAAAACAAAAACAAAAAAACCCCAGCACACATCCCCACGCAGTGACTCGATCACACAGTGACTCGCTGACGCCAACATCCTCAACACCAGCGAACAGTCCGGGTGCCCCGTTTCTGGGAGGCGCATGTGACCGACGGCGGGCCGTTTCAGTGGGTGGAACAAAGCAGGAACTGTAAGGAAAATGTACTAACTCTATTATCTTCTCATTTTCCAAGATGTGAGACATGTGCAGGTGGAAAATATGGTTGCCAAATAAACTGCTATCCCTCCCTTCAACCAAACAGGAAGTATTTTGGGCTTGGGAAGATTTTTAGACTAGGTAGGTAGAGAGCGCCACAGTGAGAACATACACCCTGCCCTCCATGTAAAAGATAACTTGCAAAAATAAATGAAACAAAATATTGACAGGCCGAAGAGCCAGAAATCTTCAAACTTACTGAGCAAAAATAATTTTTTATGATTTTTGATCTAAACTGCATTTTCCTGCATTTGCTGGATTTGCAGTCTATCAGGAGCCATTCTCCAGCTTGAGTTTTTATCATTCTAAATATATATTACTCTAAGACAGCAACTAACTGGTTAATCTGCAACTATGGTCTACGGCTATACCACGAGTTTATACAGAAGGTATATGATGTATGCGTATATGAAGGCTCCCCGGCCTGCCCTCCCGCCCTCCCGGCGTACAGACTCGGGTAGGCCCTTCCCCAGTGCTAACTAAAGCAGGAATCCTCAGCATAGCAGTGCCTCACAACCGCTCTTAGCCTTTCTCTTTAACACAGAGTTCAACTGTTTTGTTCTGTAACCTGAAACGTTTTCCCGTGCACGTCAGCCAAACTGGAACATCGCTTGACCACCGTCTGCTGACCCACGAGTCACAGCCTAGGGAGACACCACATAGGGTGAGTGTTTCCGCTTCACGTGCCCACCCAGGTCCACTTTTGTTTTGGAGTCCAGCTTTTCTGTGGCTGAGGGGACACTGCATTCAGCAGGTGACGGCTGGCTGTGGCTGCCTGCTTCTTCTGCTTCCCGGAAGAACTTCTCGTATTTGTCCATGTACGGCGGCCTCTCAGGCAGGAGGTAATAATGCGTTGAGCTGACCTTCTTCCCATCTTCGATAATGGGCAGGATGCAGGGCACCTTCCCGGCAGACCCTTCGCTGTTCTGTCTTTGTAGAGCTTTGCTGCTGACGTATTTGGGGTCGGGGGCAAAGCTCTGTGTGGGGGGCATGACCCCATTGAGGTAAGACGGCAGGCTTTTAGGACTCGGTGTGCGGGAGTTACTCCGCGAGAGAGGTTCCCGTGGGGGCACTTTCGGAGGCCTGTCTTCATCACTGTACGTGCTAGACGTGACCTCCGCCGACCACCTTCTGTAATCTGGCTTCACGGGCCTGGGAGGTATGGGGACCCGAGGGGGGACCTCAGGTTTGTCCTCGTCGGAGTTGGGAGAAGCTCTGTGTAGATAGCCGGATATCCTTATGGCGGGCTTGTGAAAGGACCCAGCCGGCCCCGAATGAGACCTTCTCAGTCTCCGGTGGGTCTGAAGGGGAGCAGGGTTTGCACTGTGCACACCTGTGCTTTGCTCGGCGGCCTGGCTGAGATCCGCGGAGGACGCAGCGGGGGTATCGATATACGCGTAGTTGATCTGGCCGCAGCCGCGGAAGCTCCGCCTGCCCGGGACGTCGTACTTGAAGTCAGACAGCGTGCGATCTTCTAGAAGCCGGTCCGTGTCCGAGCTGGTGAAGAATTCCACCTCACAGTCTGTATCGTCCTGAGAGGGGCCTTTGGAGGTGGGCGGCAGCGGCGGCAGGGGCCGAGAACCCCGCTCGCACGGAGCCACGCAGGGGAAAACGGAAGGGCAGGCTTTTATGGGCGTGAGTGGGGGGGTAGAAGCACACACCCCATTGACCGAGAGTTTTTTGAGACCACATACAACTCGATCCTCTTCATGTGGTCCCAAGTTCTCACCCAGAGGAATGATAAGAGGGGTCAAGCTGGGCTTCTGAGAGGGGCCGTTTTCTGCAGAGCGCAGGCCGCTCATCGCAGCAGATGTGGAAGAGCGCCCTGGAACCAACGAGAGACATCAGTCAGTAAGAGACCCGCCAGCTCCCACCCGCGACCACAGCCCCGCTACGTGGGCTCCTACAGCTTCCACCTAAACGAACAGAGCGACGTGCCGGCTGGAACCGAGAACACCCAGGCAACAGCCACAGGCGTAATTAGAGGCTGGAGATTGTTAACACACGATCTGGTTCAAAGAACAAATTATCTCTTCTGTCTCCCTCGGACATGTGCACGGCACACACCCACGCACCTCGGGCAGGTTTTGTGACATGTGCAAAATTCGCAGAAGATGAACAGCATGTAATTTACATGAATACCAGACTACGCCAGCCTAGTCATTTACGAGATGCAACCACAGGAGGTGCCGGCTTGCAGGCATAAGGTAAAGTCCTCACTGTCAGCGCGGTCGGAATACTGAGAGTGAGAGCCTGGCTTGCCATGTGATAAGAGGCTCTTGGCAAAAATCTAAGGAACATAATGTTCACATTAAAAGTACTATGTGGTGTATCACCCACTTTTCTAAGTTGTTTTAAGCAACATTTACACTACTTCATCACTTCCAAACAGCCAATAGTAGTAACAAAAGGGACAGGTCTTGTCCAGTTCCTGAAAGTGAAGTGTTTCACAGGTGGGGTTACAACTGAATTCTTGATTTGAAAGATCACACTTCCACAGGCAGACAGTGACTGGGGACCTGGTGCAGTGGTTTGAGAAGAACCGGTGATCCCCAGGACCTGTTGCCACTAGGGGTCAGACTATTGTTGGAAATAGTTCAGACCTTTTCCTCATTTAAAAAGTCACGCTGGAGGACAAGCTAACAGTCCAGACCACGCCACCTTCCGCTCCCAGGGCCAACTTCCCGGATTTGCAGAACACATACCAAGAGATGTTAGGTGCGCCTGACCAGGAGTGTTCAGACTGCAGGCCATGGTTATTGGGTCAACATTGTAAAACTTACTGAAAGGAAAGGAAAGACATCTTGGTCATAAACAAGTTGTGGTCCTATTCTCCATCCCATTTCAATACCCTTCTTCGAGATTCCGGTGGCATGGAGCTCGTCCTTACTTTTCAAACTCCCTGGGCCTGGCCCAGTAGGTCTTCATGGTCCCCATGGCCTGGCCATCGTGTAGAAACCCAGTTTTTAATGGGACCCGAATCTCCTGAGCAGCCACTCCTGCGGATGACATCGTGCCTTATTCTGGGATGTCTCCACACTTGGGATCCTAAAGGTTTGTTAGTTGACCGGTAGCTTTCGTTCCCTAGAGGGATAAAAAGGAGATAAGAGCATGAAGCGAACAACTCAAAATACTCATAAATAGCTAATATTAGAGAATTTGGGGGGATGTTGGAGAGAAAAATTTAGTTATAGACTTTCACTTAATTCTGACAGTTTTACACTCATTCTTACTTCTCGTAAGGATGCTTAAAGGTGGACGCTAAAAATATTTTTTTTCGTAAATACTAATCCAAGATGTATAATGTGTTCAACAAAGCGAGACATGATCGACCGCCTGCAAAAGCGGGCCTCCTAGTGCAGAGGCTGACAGTTTGCACAACAAACCCTGCTTGCCTGCCAAAGCACACAGACCTTTCTCCAGCCTCCTGACACCGGCCTTCCAGGGTGTGCTTGCACTAGGAATGGAGCTCATCTTCCCCCGAGCTAAAAAAGGCATTTCAGAAACCACTGTGTCCCTCCCGTACTGCAGAACTCCCGTTCACTGAAACCTGACCACGCTTTGAGCTTTGATCGGATGAGACGCTCCCGTTGGCACCTGACTATCTATCCCACAACCCCGCATTGATTTGGGTTCTGTATTTCAGGGTTGGCCCTGAGAAGACACATTCTCCAGTTATTACTTGTTCAAGAATAAAGAAATATATGAAGGCACTAATTTCCATTATCTTGTAAAAATCAAGTTCTGCAAGATTACTGGCTTCAGTGGAGGCCTGGGACAGCTTCCTCCTCCCTTTTAGAGACAAACTTAAAGGTACATTCCTTACATTGTCTGAAGTGCCTAGCTGCGAGGCATGGACAACAAAGGCCAAGGAAGTGCAAGTTTTCTTAATCTAGTAGTTCCTCCACTTGAGGGAATCTGTCCCCTCCCACCCCCATCCCCCAGTCACATGTTGCCTGTCTTGGAGTCCCCAGAGGAGCCTCGTTTAAATTCTACTTTTATTACTCATGTTAGCATCAGTGCTAATGTTAATTAGCATCATCTTGGCTGTCTTCAGATAATTCATGTTTGATTAGAATACGTTTAGGACATCATGTGTCAGCTATCTGTGTAACACTGATCCCTTCTGAGATGTGTGCACATAAACTTGGTAACGCTTTCATTCTCACCAAACATTTGTGCACAGGTTTTTGCTTTGTTTTGTTTTGAATGGACAAATCTGTCACCTCCTGCTAGACTTCGAGCTCAGATAAGACGCTCCATCCCAATCGTTAATCATCCTGGGAACACCAGCAGTTGTTCAATAAGGGAATGTTTGTTGAATGAATATTTGTACAACACCTGTTATCACTGATAGAAATTTAATGTACATAATGTGTAAGGCATAGGGTTTTTGCTTTTAGCTAAAGATCCAAACAAATACTTTGCAAGTGTTTACTATTTGTTTTTTTCCACATAAAAAGGAACGAAGAGATAGTAATGTTTCAGTGACAGACTGAGGATGGGTCCCAATTACTGAGTCTCAGGTTTCTACCAAAGTCCACTGTTTTGACATACTAGGCAGAGATTTAAATAGGTTTAAAATAATATTTCAGGCAGCCAAGCATTATTTTTCTTTAATCAGTCTCAGATATGTGATTAAGAGGAGGAAAAAAAGTTATTGGGATGTCTTTTTTTTTTTTAAGGTTGGTTTTTAGATTATTGAAATGAGGCAGATGTGTTTTTCCTTTATTTACCTGAGTCAAGTAAAGCTATATAAACATTTAAAAACCAATTTTGAGAAAAAAATCGCTAGGCACTCCCTCTGTGTACTGAGCCCGCTGTTTTACGGAGCTTTTCTCCAGGCACCCCACAAGCACTGGCAAGGCTATAGGGAAAGTCTCTGTGGTAACACAAAAAAAATGAAAGGCCAGAGAGGAAGGAGAATATGGTATTTAAGTAGTTGGAAAGCACACTTTTGAAGATGGTTCATCCAGATTACAGGAAAATGCTGCGGGGGATTCCGGAGGCCCAGCCCCCACCTGTCTGCAGGCCAACAAGTCCTACCAGCAATGACTGTGTCAGCCTCCTAATGCCATCTAAATCTCAGCTTTCAACAGAACGATTGTGTAACTATCGCCTCTGCTGAAATTGCCTCAGAATGCTAAGCTTACATTTCAATGGTCCCTTAAAATTATTTATATGGTCTAGAAAAAAGTTATTTTTTATTCATTGTTTCCATCACCTACTTGTTAGCTTTCTTAAGAAAAAATTTTTTTAGTATAAAAAGAATTGTGTTCACTAAGCCAGCTCACTTCTGACCACAATAGTGTCTTTGTGTATTCATAGAAGGTGACCTGCCTCTACATTTCAATGGGGAATTGTGAATGGGCCATGTTATGAAACCGTCGGAACTTCCTACTTGCTTGCATGGGAGAAAGCGAGGAGGGCAATATAATTGCATGTTCTCTTCTTTTGGAAAAGAACTTCAAATTGTAGACTCAAAAAGGGTAACCTGCCATAGGTTTGGAAGCAAACTTTTAAAATGTATCCCTCAGATTGTATATGGAGGGTATGAAACCACCTGAAATTCTTTTACACCTTTCTCAGAACTCTTAAGTATTCAATATACATGCTGGGGTGGGTGGTGGATGAATCGGTTTGGTCAACCTCAAGTTAAAAAGAAAAACACTGCTCAAGTGACATTAACTAGTGCTGCAGTGTACTGTTTCCTCTTAACTGTAAACCTAGCTCTGCCTTACAGTTTATTAGGAAAACGATTGCAAAAATATAGCGATGTGGGAAAATCAGTATCAGTCCAGGATGGGATTGTTATAAAATGCAAACATGAAAGCTGATGCTAACCCAGGCGGCATGGGACAGACCAGGATCTAACTAACCGTGGGCATAATAACTTTCCTAAAATGCATACTCTTTAGCCTTTCAGTGTATCAGAAACGCAGTTAAATCCCAGATGTGAACTACTTTTTCCTGTTAAACATCATTTGATTTTTTTTTTTAATTCAAGGAAAACAAACCTCACCCTAAAACCATTAGTTTCTTGAGATGGTCCCTTTATTTTCTCTCTTTCCCCGCATCCCTCCCCGGGTTCTGATCCACTTCTACAGCTTCAGCGACAGCCCTGAGCCTTGACCCCAGCCCTGGCTCAGGCTACCACTTAGCATTTCCTATTGTCTGGTGATTATCTTTCCACTCCGATGGTCCTCTGGCATCCCGGACTCTACAAGCCAAACTCCTCCTGTCACTTACTTCACACCCCAACCCCCTTCCCAGACCAGTTCAGGGTCCAAGGGGATCACACTTTTCCTAGAGGCACCATTTTTAACCCGAGTTACGGCCAATACACATTCAGTGACTGAGTCCGGTGGCCTAATGTCACCTGGTGTCTCAAATCTACCTTCCTTCCGTTCACCGGCACCGCTCTGCCCTGGGTCTGAATGCAGCCAATCCATCCCACACACCAGGCCCAGATCAATCCTCCTCAACTGCAGCTCAAATTAAGATCTCCCGCTGCTTCAGATCTTCTGAATAAAAGCGCCCGAGTCTGGCATCCAGGACTGCACACCAAGGCCACGCTCTACCTTTGCTGAGCTCCTGCTTCTGTTTTCTCAGTGTCGCTAGCAGCATGCCACTCCTCTTTCATGGCTGTCTCCTAGACCACTTTCTCCACAACCCGCGGAGCGAAGCCTGCTGTTCTTGGGCTAGTTCGTGCTGCGCCCCGTTCCTTCCCCATCCTCCGAATCATCTAGGACAGGACCTGTTTCTCCCTGGAGATCCTGGCATCATTCATTTCTAACAAATATTTATTAAATGGATATCGAGAAAATATTCATCTCATTTTTAAAAAGGTACCATGAAAGATTCACATACTGTATATAAATCAGAGAGCTAGGGAAAAAAACAAAGGATTGTAAGGGATAAACTTAATGTGTACTGTAACAAGTTTAGGATATGCAGCAGGCAAGGAAGGAATTTTCATTCAATTCATTTCCAAAATCCAAAGTGGACGGTTTGCAGACTGGGTAAAAACTGTAAGCTCAATGTTTAACAATGTAACTTTCTAAACTGGTTTCTGTTACTGTATATTTACTTAAGGCAGGCAGCAGAGTGCTTTCTGAAAACTACAAATTTCACCTTCTCTTACACACTACTCCTCCTGGATTATATAATGCACCTACTATGTTTTTGCTGTTAAAAACAAAAACCAAAATGTTAATGTTCAAAGTGGATGTTTTGCTTTTCTTTGCACATTCTTTATTGAGGTGAAATCACATGCCTTTATTTTGAGTCCAGTCTCTGAAACTGTTTTCAAAAAAACCAGGCTACCTTAAGCCAGTAACCTAGATCTGCTCACCTTGCCTCCAGATCACATTAATAAATCTCAGGAGCAATCCAGAGGAGGAGGGGCACATTTTTGTCACACAACTCATCCAGCTCTGCCCAGTGCTTCCTTATTTAAAAACGTGTGATGTAATTTCCTTCTTTAAATCTGGTTTTAGAACCTGATTTCTGTTTATTCAGAGTGATAAATGGTCTTTTCAGCTGCATTTAACAATTACCTACCTACCTATTCCCATACCCAGGGAGATACAAGGTAACTATAGAGCCAAAATTTGTAAAAAGAAACTGATTTAGCAACATGACAGATCCCCTGATTTTAGATCCTCCGCAAATAAACCAACACGTGCATGCTCACCTTCATTTTGGAAATGTCTAAAATAGTCACCTTTGGGGGAAAAAAACCCCCAAACAAAACACCACCACAAAAGACATGTGATTCATGTCTAAAGCACTAGTAGCCAAGCTGAATATTTGACACTGATTATTCAACTGAGCTGTTTCATAGAATTTTAATTTTTGTTAATAAGAAAACTTACTGACTTGATATTCATCTATATACTCAGTGTTTATATGAGTTGTAATATTGTGTGACCTGAATTTATTTCCTGAAAGCAAGACTTCAAAATCAAAGGCCCCAATTTGGTTTTTTTCCCCAGGGTTTTCAAATAGGCTATGATTTGGGGAAGGGGAAAAGGGGCAGGCAAGTTAGAAAAACTTCCTTCACTGTAACTTGCTACCATGAAAAAAGCATAAACAGCCTTTACATTAAAGCACAGGCGACTTAATATAATCCATCCACACAAAACAAAACAAAACAAAACAAAAAATCACAAAGGTGACTTAAAACATTTTTTCTATTGTTTTAATAAATTGTAATGAAAATTATCCTGCATGAATTCAAGCTAAACTTGCTGGTTTCAGTAAAGATGGGAAGAGTCCAGCTGGTGCGGATGGGCATTTTTGTCCTTAGCTGCGCCCCTCATGCCTCTTCAACAGGCCTAGTGTATAAGAGCCCATTTGTATGGGGTAAAAACTGAGGCAACAAGGAAAATAATTTATCTTCAGATTGTGAAAATCAAAGCTAAGTGACCTAATTTCTTGAATTTGGAATATTTTCTTGCTAAGTTTTTTAAGAAATGGCAAGCTAACAAAAAACCTATTTGCTGAATTTCCAGTTATCAATAGCCTTTGGAGTCCCCTCGTCTCCTGCACAGTTTTAGTGTGACAGCAGATATATTCTTTTGTCCTTTGTAGTTTTCCTACAGAGAACTCCAGTCAATAGCAACACGCACATGCATGCACACACGATGGAAAAATATTGTTCCTTTTAGACACACACAATAGATTTCTAATTGTAAAAGACAGGTGAATTCTAATTTAAATAACCACAAGCGCAATGTCCTAATGATGGGAATTAAGACTTTAAAATTTCAAATTTACTTAATGAAACTTTAAGTCACCTAATGGGTAACTCTAGATTGTTATCATGAACAAAACCAGTAAGAATAATAATTCATCAGACACTTATCTGACAGGCATTGTTCTAAGTGCTTTATATATATTAATATATTAACTTATTGAATCCTCTCTCAACAACCCTATAGATGGGTTACTATTATTACCCTCATTAACAGAAGGAACTGGAGGCAGAGTAAGTAACTTACTTGGTCAAGGTCGAGTGGTGGGGCTACTTAAACCAGGGAAGGCTGCTCACACCCACACCACCTCAGCAAGCCCTCAGGCAATTAAACCCGCGGAAGATCTGACCCACTACAATGCTCAAGTTTTGAGGGGAGCTCAGACAGATGTCTCTGGGGATTTGCGGCTTGGTAATAGTTTTTCTTGGGTAATCCTTAGACTATGCAAGTTCCTGTTTTACTTCAACTCCCTCAAATTCTTTTGTAAAAGTTATTAGTTGCAGATTTGGCCTATGTATCCTCTAAAAAGGGTGGGTTAAAGTATTACTTTTACATTCCATGCCTACTTCAAACAATTCTTTGGAAGCCCTTAACCTTTAATGATATCACCATCATGTATCCATTACACTATGGTATTTGACATAACAGGTCTGTCTCTACCGGAGAAAGGTCACCACATCCCCCCACACAGGCCTCTTAACACTCTCACAGCATGGATCCCAATGATGGCATTACAAATATCCTGCATTTGTAAAGCACTCAACAAATTACAAAGCACTTTCTAATACATTATCTCACTTGATCCCCACAACATCCCTGTAAGAACAGGCAGGGATTAAAACCTCCATTTTGCAGATGAGGAAATGAAGCAGAGAGGTTAAACATTTTCCTGTTAGCAAAAAGGCCATCCCAGCTCTTCTGCCCTAGAATCCAGCATTTTCTCCACTAAACTACCGCTGCCTCTGCTTTCCATAGTGTCTTGATCATGGCAGCCACCTCATTTCTCCTCCTCAGTTTACAAATGCAGAAACTGATGCACAGGATGGCTAAGTGAAATGCTCAAGATGTAAGCATCAGTCAGTTTCAGAGAGAAAAACAGGAACTCAGAGTGTTTAACTCACAAATTCTTAGCAGGGAAAGATGAAGTATTTTCACAAACAATTATCAAATGCTTATTCTGGACTAGATACTATGCTCGGTGAAAGTGACATGACTGCGGTCAGATGAAGCCTCAGTCCAGTGAGGAAGGAGAGAGACAACAGTTAAGAAGCAAACAACATTTTCAGATTGTGGTCATTTCAGATTCAGTAAGAGGGTAAGGAGGCAGGAGAAGGTACTTACCCAGGAGGTTAGGGAAGGCCTCCCCGAGGCGACTTTTTATATTGAAATCCAAAGCATGGAAAAGAGGCAGCCATGCGAAGAGTCAGGAGAGCTTCCTATGCACAGAGAGTAGTATTTTTTAAAGACAACCTGTAACTCGTAGAGTTTTCATATTCTGTGGGCTTTTAATAAGAGTTATTGGAGTCTTCTAATGCTCACCTTCCTGCTTCCTCTGTTAAACTGTAATGTTTTGTTGGATCCTGGCACTTTGTGGAGTTGAAAAGGCTTACTTCATGTAGCCAGAGCCCCATATTTTTAAAATATGGAGGCCTGGAAGACTGGCCTTTTAGTAATACTGCCCAATTTTATGATATAAGGAACCGGATTAAAATATCACCAGCAACTCTGAATCGTGGAATCTTTTGTTTTCCTTCTGAAGTCTGAATCCCACACTAACTTTTCCCTACCTTAAAACTAACTTCTCTATTACACTCACATTCAGAACCCTGCAACTCCCCAGTTTTATCTCGCCTCACAAAACATGTGTTTATATTGTGCAAACAACGCCAGAATGCCACAACTGGATTTTATCTAGTGAGTCCTTCATGAGCTTTTATAAAGTATGGCCAAACACCAGCACTGAAGGATGCCACAGGAGTCCTGATGATGAAGCACCCATTCAAATGTATTCAGATTAAGAGCCAGAGTTGTTTCTCTGGTAGAGGGAGCCTGTGACACTCAGATTCCTGGAATTATCCTTGGCACCACCTCCTCCCTCCTCTGCTCACCTTTCTAAAGCAACCGATGGTATGTAGACATTCAGGTCAGTTTCAAGCATGTTAGATTGTACCTGTAATTTAGCAACTTGCTTTTAAAAGCTACCATCAGTGTTAGCATAAAGGAACTATTATCTGGTTCAACTTCTGAGAAGCAGCAGTTGAGTTACTTTCACACAAAAACTCAAGTCTACAGTATAAATTTCAAATCTCATAGAAAGAGTGACCAGTATCTTCTGTGAACTGAAAGTAGGAAAAACAATTCATTGAAACAGTAATTTTACCTATGTGTCAAAATACGAATCCTTCAGACATCTCCTAACAGCCATAAAAAAACAGATTTGCTTTTCAACCCTTATCAGTGGCGGATCCAATCCTGCTGAGCTTTAAAGTGTAAAATATGCTTCCGTGCAATTATTTTATCAACCATCAACTATGTGCAAGGGTGCATAAGACAGAAGGTGGACAAGGCAGTGTTCCTGCAGTTAAGAAGTTTGCAATCTAATATACATTAGGTTATAAATCATTAGTCTAACATCTCCATCACCTAGTAGGAGTAGCCACTGGACACAGCTGAAAATAAACCCGAGTGAAGGGAGAGGGATGACAAATAGTGTATGAAGTCCATGCTAAAACCTGTGTGTATTTCTTCTCCTCACATTTCCTAATAATATCTGGACGAGAGCTTGGTTGCTAACATACTGGTAACAATCAGTCAGCATGTTAACAAGAAACCAACTTTTATTTGGGTCTTAGCAAAATCTGGTCATTTCCTGAAATGGGTACCTTGATGGTCTTTGGTCTGTTTAAATAAAACTTCACTTAAAACTGTATAATTACAGACATGCAAAAAGAAAGAAAAAAAAAGAAAAGCGGTTAAAAAAAAAAAAAAACCCAGCAAGACTAGGCATGGTGAACTTAAGATGTTTCAGTCTCAACAAACGTATACCATTGCATTCTTACAGATCCATAAAAGCTTAAAACTCTGCAGAACACTTGCTCTTCAGAAGGAAAAAAAAAAAAAGCGTTTTAACCTCACCTTTCTTCACCCCTGACAGTTGCCTAGAAACCAGTCCTGCCCTACCTGTGTTGCAGGTGTACCTCAAGTCACCAACACATCTCTTTTAAAGCTACAGCCTCTGACTGCACTTAAGTTTATGACTAACAATCTATTCATATTTTTTATCAGGTAGGAGACTGGTTTCTTTCAAGCAATGACGAAATCCTAATAAAGACTTAGCAAGGACCAATACAGCACCAATCACGGTTAAGGAGTCATCTCATTTGTAATAAGACTAGGATATACATATAAATACACACATACACACGAGAAATACCCAATGAGCGCTCACGTTTTGAACAGAATTCTGCGGTTCCTTTCCTTTTGAAGCACTATTTAGGACGCTCACAGCACAGTCACATTTCTAGGAGAGGAGGAGGGCACGGAACTACTGGATGAATTAAAGAATGCCGACTGGGGTTGACTGTCGTCGCCGAGGCTAAGCAGAGGGGTCGCGGGTCAGAGCCGGTGCCGATCACGGGCCAGCAATCACCCACCGCAGCTTTTGGGATGGGACATATGGGCACACGGCGCGCACCAGGGTAACGCAGCCCCCATTGTGAAAAAGGAGAACGCCCGAGGCCGCCGCCAGTCCGCGGGCGCGGGACCCCGGCTCGCCGCTCCGTCCCCTCCGCAGCGGTCCCGGCGCCCGGTGCGCGGCCGGCGAGGCGAGAGGCGCCCCCAGGCCCATCTGCGTGCCCAGGCCGGTCCCTCCCTCCGTCTCTCCGTCCGTCCCAGGGAGACTCCGCGTCTGGCGACCCTCTTCGCCGGGAGACCCGCCCTGCGTCGGGGGCCGCCCGCAGCCCGGAGCGGCGGGGGCGCGGCGCCGCCCTCCCCACCCCCAGCCCGCAGGCCCCTTACCCCCGTGGAGCCGCGGCTGCCCCACGGCGCCCTCCCGCGCATGTCCGTCCCGGCTGGCTCAGCGCCGCGGGCTCAGGGGCCCCGACACCGCGCAGGCGCCTCGCCGCTCGCAGCCGCTCGCCCGCCGCTCGCGCTCCCCGCTCGCACTCGGCCGCCGTCGCTCGACCGCCGCAGCTAGTCTTTTAAGTAAGTCGTGACGTTGTCGCCCGCCGCCCCACCTCCCCCGCGCAGCCAATCCGGGCTGCGAGCCGCTTAAAGGGGCGATGCCGCGGCCGGGCGCGCGCGTGGGGTCCACCCGCGTCGCGCGGCCCTGCGGGGGCCGCCTTTGTCTCCCCAGAGGCGTTTCGGGGCCGCCGCGGCCCCACGCCTCCCCTCCGCCGGACCCGAGCGGCCGCTGCCGAGCCCGGGAACGCCTCACACGGACTTTTCCTCCGAAGCGTGCGGGCAGCCCGGCCTCGGCAGTGGTTCCTGCCTCACCCCAAGGCGGCGCCGTGCTTCGCCTGGAGTTTCCCGTCGCTTCCAGCCGCGGGGACGGCTTTTGCGCGTTTCCTCCTGTCTGCGGGCCGCCGCCGCGTGGGTGGGCGGAGGCACCGGGAGAAGGCGAGAGGAGCCTCCTCGGGCCGGTCTCCGTCCCTCCGCAGGCCCCGCGGTCACCACGAGGCCCGCGGGCTGCAGCGTGGGAGGGACAGCGAGGTGGCAGCGTGGGACAGCCTGGAACAGCGAGGGACAGTGTGGGGTAGCACAGTACAGGGTAGGACAGTAAGGGGCAGTATGGGACAGCTCGAGACAGTGAAGGGCAGCGAGGCCACATCGGCGAGGCCCTTTCATCTGCGCATTGAGAGCGGGTCCACCCAGCCGCCTCTCCTCTGACCGACCACATGTTTGAAAATCTAAGCCAGACCCCGGTGGCCCGTTGGCCTGACCAGAGCCACCCACGGGCCTCCAGAAGGAGCACCTCCTTCCCCAACCTGGCGTTCCCTTGCGTTCCCAACGTTGAGCTGACCCATGCTGGCCTCGACATCTCTTGGCATGGGGGCCGCCATTGATGCCCCAGGACAAGACGCCAGCGAGCCCGTGGGAGGAGGTTTCTTGGGGCGCCAGTGATGCAACTTAGGCTTATAGTTTAACCGTAAAATAAATAATACAAATGATAACAAACCAAGAGTAAGTAAAGTAAGAAAAAAAGCAAACAGACAGAAACCCTCCAGTTTTAACTAGAACAAATGCCCTGAAGGGTCCTCTGTTGAGTGGCGGCCATAGACCTCTCGCTGAGCTCTTCTCTACGTGGAACCCCTGCTTGCATTTCGGCAGTCACGCCCGACAGTTGCACATTTCGCACTGCCTAATTGGGCTAGTTTAACATATGGAATGGGAGATTCCGACCTCATTATCAGGTTAACTATTAACTTTGCACTCCATGAAACGATTTGTCTTCTCTACCCTGTGATTTACTTACATTCTCCTGAATTTAATTCAAAGGCCTAATTTTGAATCCAAGTCCTTACACACACACACACACACACACATACACACACACGCACACATGCACGCACGCCCTGAAGTACCCCTTTGCCCTCTTTCAGTTGCAACATAAATGAATGTTTAGCAGAGATAACGCTATCCTTTCTGACCGGCAGGCTCCTGGATTGCAGAGGCTTTGGGCCATTTTCATGCCTAGGCTACTTATCAACAATCCAGTAATTTCATCTTTTTGTCAACTTATCTTCTTATTGCCATTCATTTAGTATTATTTTCGGATGATGGAAATTAGTCACAACTAATTGCTGGGTTTCTTACCAAATTAACTAGGTTTTTTGATTCACAGAAAATCCAGCTTCCCCCCCCCCCCCCATTTTGGCGTCATTGATGTTGACGGCTCACCCATACGCTGTTATCAGTGTAAAAAAAGGATCAGCGGGAAAAGTGAGTTGCTGGAGAGCATCTTTTCAGGCTTCACAGTGCAGCATTTACTGAATGGAGACCTAGATCAGCTCAGGTTTCATCTGAAAAGAACCCTAGCTACGCTGTTTCAAGTTGCTACAATACAGGGGTAATTTGTGCTGGCCTTATTGGCATGCTTTTTCATCTCCCTATTCATAAAACAGTGATAGTCACCAGAGCAACCATCAAACACACCCCTTCTTTAGAGAAAGAAGATCAACAGGATACTTACTATGTGGTTGCGAGCTGTATGGTGTGCTCATGTTTGGGTAAATTGTCAAAAAACATGAAATCACATGAGTAATATGTGATTAATCCGATTTTTTCTTATCTATTTTAAGCTTGCAAAATAAATATCATGATTTATTCATTTTGGGAGGGGGCGGGGCGGGGAATCCAGTTGTAGCTGATAGCCTACTGAATTTTGCTTACCATTTTATTAATATAATATGGCTTTCTCAGCTGTGAATGAATTGCATGAGGAGGCTTATACCCCACAAATCTTTTATCTAATAGTCTACTAAGGCTATTTTGTAATACCATTGATATTATGTCAATAATAGAGTATTGGGGGAAGAATTCAAAGGAAAATGCTAAACAAGTTGAAATATTAGCAAATTGCATTTATCATTCATTGACTTCTAACAGATTAGAACGCTAGTTTAGAGCTTTAGGGGAAAAAAAATATTCTCTTTGTACTGAACCTAACTTGTTTTAAATTGTCTCCAGTAAGAAATTTAAAGTCGGACAATGTTGGTTTTTTAAAAAATATATCTCTCGTAGTCCATTTAATTTTGAAGCTATTTTACAAGGAATTTATATTAGCTGATTGCTTTTCATATTGAACTCCCCCAAACATAACATCTGAAACATTAGACTTCCATCACATTGACCCAGATTGTCACTTTGCACTTGCCCTTCTTTCAGTGTAAGAAGAAGCTGTCCTTGGAGTGAGAACAAGGGAAGGTTCTGGCTCCGAAACCTTAGGCTTTGCTTTCCTAAGGACACTGCTCTTTTCTCTCCTCTCCCAGTCCTTCCACAAGTCATGCGTAGCCGTAAATAGGCTGGACAGGGGCCTTTCAATGCTTCCAAATTTATATTTTGACACTATTTGAACCCCGCAGGCGTGTACACATTTTGATATTTATTCTTGATTATAAATGTTTTTGTGTTCCTCCTTTTGAACAAAGAAATATCTTAAAGTGAGACACTTTCTTTCTGCATTACCCTTAGTCCTAGAGCCTTTACTTTTGTTCATTCGCAATTTAACTATGCACTTTTTTTTTTTTACTAATTTATAAACAAGTGTGCGGTAAAAAACATACATGACAATGGAATAATTGCATTTCTTAGAGGTCACTTTGTTAGTGTGCCACTTTCTGTTTTGGAAACATCTGGGCACAGATACATATATTTATATATCCAATAAACTTGGCTGATTACTTTAAGACACACATGCTGATAAGAGCCGAGATTCATTCATGAGGAATGCCTCGTCACTATCGAAGCCTTTACTGAGCTTTCAACTCTAGCAGCCATTTGACAAGTGGCACAGAAAAAGATTTCTTTAAAATTTCCATTTTCTTTTATGTAGTTAGGGATACTACACCCCCTTCCTAGCTTTTCCTCTAAAAAAGAAAGCAAGAAACAAGCAAGCAAGCAAGAAAGACTATACTCGTATACAATATACTCAGCCTGTGAGACGATTGAGCGGGCTGGTTTTAATTTATCTATTGTTTTATTGTCTATTGTTTTAAGTGTTAGCTTAACTACGTATTCTTAGTATGCATTTTAGAGAGGCTTTTTGTATAGTTGCTTATTCTTAATTGAGCCACTTTTCACTTACTTAATGCTCCCTTAATGTACATTTGATACTATTGGTGATTACTGTATTTCTAGTTCTATCCTGTTTCTAGAACTTACAACCATCAGAATTTTTTAGTGCCCTATAGATACATTAATTTAATATGTACATGTTTACTAGACAATTTTTTCAAATTTCTTTTGAACACTAACCTGAGTTTATCTTCAAATGTAAACATTTTCTCCCAAGTAAGTGCTGCATTTCCAATTAGCTGGCCAGTAGGGGGTGCTGTCGTCCCTTGCAAAATAAATAAATAAATTAAAAATATTAATGTAAACCCTTCATAAGAGATTTCAGAAATATATTTCACTCCTTCATTGCCAGCGACACAGATGAGATATGTTTATATCGATGCAAGTAAATAGTTCAGCATATGTATGGCAAGTAAAATTGTTATATTAAGAAAAGGAAACTTTGAGATGTTTACTTCTTTGAATTTAGTTCTAAAATAATTTGGTATTCTTTTACCAAATTGATCCCTTGGTAGCAGATACTTTCCTTCATTCTGGATAAAAGAAGGATAAGAAAAATGGTGCAATGATGGAGAGCCCAGGCTCTGGAATTGGAGGTTTGGGTGTGAATCCCAGCTCTGGCTGTATGACTTAGGCAAGCAACTTAATTTCTTATAAGCTGCGGATAACTACTTTTTACTCCACTGGGGTACTGGATGAATAAATGAGAGTATACGTGTAAAAGTGTTTAGAACACGGCTTGGCCCCATCAGGGTTCGATAACTGTTAGTTGTTTTTTTTTATCTATATTGTTATTCTCATTGTTATTGTTCTGTTTTCTTTGAGAGATTTTTTAACACCTTTCATTGCAAGATTCCAAAATTCTCTATTGCTTATTAGTATACATGATTTGTCAAGGAGGTTGTTTCATTAAATTCCAGGAGCATAAATGATTTATAAGATAAAATGTCTTACTTTATCTGCAGTATTTCCACTTAAGAGGCTATAAAATCTTAAGCCAAAGAAAGGCATCTGTCATAGTGAAATTTTAGGCACCAGCAGTTCTTGGGGAGATAGGCTATCAGCAGGGGGAATCTTCTAGCATCTCTCAAGGGAAGGTAACAAGTAGCCTTATGTCTATGAGCATGTACTTAGAAGTCCATACTCATAAACACCCATAGGCATGTTTCCTTTAAAAAATAATAGATTGAATTTGTGCATAAACTTAAAGTCCCTGCAGAACTTTTAAATCTGAACAGCTTTACCATATTCTCTGGAATGTTTACAGTAGCGACTAGGTACAGTAGCATTGAAAAGCACTGAAGGAATGCCAACACTTCTTGGTATTTCTAACTTTATTCACGCATACATTTATCCATTCATCCATCAGTAAATATTTATTGAACTCCTACTGCGTGCCAGTCCATGCTAGGTACCCAGCAGTGAGCAAGGGAGACACAATCCCTGTCCTCAGAGAACTTTCGGCTGTGGGTATTATGGACAAGCACAGGGGAAGTGGGATGGTCTGGTGTGATAGGGGGCTGGCAGTGTGCTGTGGGAATATTAGGACAGGACCAGCCCAGCCCTGAGGGAGTCAGGAGAGCCTTCCAGACCCAGGAAGGTCTACACTTCAGCTGTGGGAAGAAGAGGAGGTTGACGTCACTATCAATGACAAGAAGGTAAGAGATGAGGCCAGAGAGGTTAAACAGAGGCCATATTTTTCTTGACTGTATAAGCCATATACTAAGAAGTTCAGACTCTGTACTCAAAGTAGGGGAGCCATTGAAAAAGTCTGAAGTGGACAGTGACAGGTTTAAATTTCTGAGTTAGAGAGGTCACTCTTGTTGCCGTAGACATCATGTGACCAAAAGAGTTGTAATTTTGGGTTAGGGGTGCTATGTTACCTTCTTAGTTCTGACTTATTTCTGGCCAGGGTATCAGTTCTTCTAACTCTGGGATGTGGAGGCTTGGCAGTAATTATGAAGCAGATGAAAAACAAGAAAGCAGGCAGAGAGAAAGAGAAACAAATGCAGGCTATTGGTCAGCTCTTTGGTCTTTACCCACTTAGGGTAACAGGAGTGGTGTCTGTGGCTTGTTTGGTGAAATACAGGTTGACATGCATGATCTTCTACAATAAATCCATTTGTGTCTATGACATTGCCCAAGCCACAAATAGCCCGTGGAGACATCACTAGAACTCAGGGCTTTAGGTTGAATGTTCCTTTTATCGGGGAGGATATGAACTTAAATCTGTTATAAAGGGTTAGATGAATGTTGGTTGATACTTTAGTTAAATTTTGCCAGTATATTTGTCACTAGAATTTCTTTTGAGTTGTTTCTGACCTCTTCCTTAGTCAATCTAAGACTATGGAATTAAAAAGTTCCAGATTCTACGTTTCTTAAAATAATGCTTGTGAATGACCAGTATTTTAAAGGTGGAAGATTTATTTTCCTATAAAAGGGCATATTTGATTTTGTCATTAAGACAGTTCCTATGTTTCTGTTGTAAAACGTGTGATTGTATCATTAACCAGAGGACGCTGTGATTAATGAAAGCTGTTATTAAAAAAAGTGACAAAAATGTAATTTTCACTGATAAAGAAATATAATAAAATCTACTCCCTATTAATGCATATTGTTGTGATCCATTAGAGGGCACTTCATGATATCCAGGGTAAGAATTATATTCATTCAACAATTTTACGGAGAGTCTACTGTACTTCTGATGGTTTCTACTTTTTCAAGGTAAAATTCAGAAAAATTTCCACTCATTTGAGCTTTATGGTTGTTTGTATTTTAAGTTTTCTTTAACACTTAAAATGAAGCATTTGCCCCATCTTGTTAATTAGAGTATATGATCCTTTACTGACTGTTATTTATTTTATATCTCCTATTGTTGACTCTCTTGGTCATAGGTATAAGCTTAAATTATACGAGGGAGGGCTTGGTGAGTGCAGACAGCCTAATAGATATAAAAATGCAAAAGACTCTTCAGAGCAAGGCTGTAGATTCTACCTCCTTAAAAAACTTGAAGAATCAAATAGACTCTTTTTTTTTAAAGATTTTTATTGGGGAATTGGGGTATGGGAACAGCGCTGGGGAATTGGGGGAAGGCGAACAGACAAGTTGCTGTCTTTTTTGTTCTTCAGCAAAAAAAAAGGAGGACGTTGCTTCACTAGCTAGCCCAAGTTGGCACCATCATTGCGCTCTTCTCGGGCGAGGCAGATCAGTCTCTGGCTTCTGGACAGCTGCTCACGGTGGCTTGAGGGCCTCTAACACTGGCTGCTGGCTACACACGCTGGCTGCTGGCTACACACGGTAGCCCATGGCAACCCACTGCAGCAGGGGCTGCAGCCTACGCTGTCACCGGCGACTCACGGCAGCCCAGCTCCAGGTTGAGCTGTTGTTCAGCATCTTAGCTGTGGAGGGCAGTGTCACTGGCCCTCATATGTGGGATCCGAACCGGGGCCCTCTGGCATCCCAAGCCAGTTCTTAACCAACGTGCCACTCAGCCGGCCCTCAAATAGACTCTTGAACCACTATTTTTACTAGCACCCTAAACTGAGAGAGTAGTCATAACTAGAGAAAGCTATGTACCCAAAGATGTTCGATGCAGTGTCATTTATAATAGTGGAAAGCTGGCCTATTAGCAGGACAACTGGTCAAGTAAAATATGGATTATCTATTCAGCTATTAGAATGATGCTTATGATGATTTTGTAATTAGGCATAGTAACCAATAATAGCTAACAGTTTTGTGGCATTTACTGAGAACCAGGCACTGTTCTAAGGCTTTATGTATACAAATTAATTTAACTTTCACAACAACCCTCTGAGGTACATGCTATTCCTATGCCCAGTTTATGACGGAGGTTAAGTAATATGCCCAGTTACAAAGCTCGTAACTGGATTCAAACCAAGGCCATTAGTTTACTTTTTACAGCTACAAATTCTCCCAGTATCATGTTTAGTGAAAAAAGTGGAATACAGAATTGAATGTGGAATATCTATCCTCATGTGATCAATTAGGATTTTTTTTTTAAAGATTTTATTGGGGAATCTGGGAAGGGGAACAGACAAGTTGCTGTCCTTTTGTTCTTCTCAATTAGGGTTTTTAAATTTGCCAGTGACAGAAAATCTGACTTAAATTTGTTAAAAAAATAAAAAGAATTCAGTGGTTCAGTAATGGGAAAGTCTAAGGGTATGTAGCTGTATGTACTGCTTTCTTCAGGTGCTCAATGTCCCCAGATCAGGGCTTTCTTTAACTTGTGGCTTTGTCCTCTTTTGTATTGATTGTGTCTTGTGATTCCTCAGTGGCATGTTGGCTGCCAGCAGCAACAAGAGGTTAGATGGCTGTTGGGAAACCCAATTTAAAAAAAAAAAAAAAAGATCTCATTTAGTGGTTCGAACAAAAACCTGGGCCGGATTCTCACTAGTTCAAACTGAAGGCTAGAGAATGCCGTGCTCTGATTGGCCAAGCCTGAGCACGAGCCCACCCTTGGAATCATGGGTAGAATCAGCTCCATCTGAAGCATAAGAACTGAGAGAGTAGAGGAGGTGTTAGTTTTCTACAGTGAAACTGGTGAATGGACTAGGAGAAAAGAGAGACGGGTGTTTTCAGTATACGTACCCGCAACAACCGTTTCTTTTTTTTAGTCTGTAAGATACGCATTTAAAACTGTGAACTTAATAAATTTCTTGACGTTTTTCTGTTCCTTGACCTCCTTTTTTGATGCCTCCTCAGTCCTTTTCAGCCTTCTGCTCTTCTTTTGCTTGGGTGCTTAGCTGTAGGGATTCTCCGAAGTTATCTTGTGTGTTTCTAACTTAGTCATCTTATTCAGTTCCTGAACATTTATGATTACCTGTATACGAAGTGCACCCAAATCTAATTGTAGCCCTGTCTTCTTTCTCGACCTTTAATAACACATTTCCAGTTTTTTACCAGCGCTTCTCCTTTGGATATTTGTAGCAGACTGGCTTGCTTGGGAAGCAGGCTTTGAGATGGAGTGTGTCATTAGAGTGTGCTCTTGGGCTCTGTTGAAGCAAAGTGGAGGAAGCCATGTGGGTAGAAGTTGAGCTGTGATGCAGCGCCAATATAGGCCTTGGCTGGTCCTCTATTTTTTTTTTTTTTTAGTGGTTATCTAGAAATCATGAAATTCATACTTGTGCAGAATTTTAATCTCTCTCTTTTTAGCACCACTAATTGAACATTATCATCATTGGTTATATGACAGTCAATACTTATTTAGGTATAACCATATATCTTCTTTGTTCATCATTCTTTCATATCCCTCAGATTTTTTTTTTTTTAATTTTTATTTTTTTAGCTGAGCCATCCTGCTACCTGTTGGCAGCCCAGCGGCTGCTCAGCTTGGGCCAGGACTCGAACCGCTGTTGCTCAGAGCTCAAACTCTTGAG